ACAGAAGCAGGTGCCCCGCAGCTCCAGGTGATGCCTGCTCAGGAGGACGGTGACCCGAGGGACCTGGGGGCGGGGGAGGGCAGTGGAGCCAGGCAGCTCTCTGACAGAGCGGCCCACGCAGTGCGGGGAAGCGTCTGTCGTGCGTCGCAGGGGAGTCCAGGGTCCTTGAGGCGGGGGCCATGTAGCACCCGAGGATTTATCAAGGTGCTTGGCAAGTGTCCCTGACCTGTACCTAAAACTGAAACTGCATGTATGCATCTAGGCAGTTTATTTCGGGGGGGGGGGGTTCATGAATTCCCCTAAATGATCCGTGACCCCCAACAGGTGAGGAAACATTGTGTTGACTCCCAGGCCCCGGCAACCTTGAGGCCCTTACAGGTGTGGGGAAGGGAGACCCCAGGCTGACAGGCCCCCGGCGCAGGCGGGTGGGGTCTGAGGTGCCCCTGGGAGCGACACGTGACCGAGCACCGGCTTTTTCCCTGGACACAGGACAGGTGGCCCTCCAGAAGGCAGGGTCAGGCTGGGGTTGAGAAGTGGGGTTGCTGACCTGCCTGAAGGGGGGCCCAGCGCTGGTGGAAGGGAGTGAGGGGCACTCGGGCCTGAGTGTCCTGTCCTGACTGTGCCTCCAGGGACGCGCCCCGTTCTCCGCTCTGGAGGGTCCTGGGGTCTCGGCGACCAGAGCTCCGGCTCAAACCCACGTCGCGGGGATCCGGCACTCCGCCACGCGTGGGCCTCCCCGGGTTCCCGCAGGGTGACCGGGCTGCCTGTGCTCCCTGGCCTGGGAAGTGTAGACGCTCCCAGGATGTGTGAGCCCGACTCGCGGCTCCAGGCTGTTTGCCACGGGAGCCCAGCCAGGCCGGCCTCGCGGGGGCCTGGGGGAGCCCTCGGGGGGGCCGAGGCCAGACCCTTCTGTGGCAGAGCGGCCGCCCCAAGCGACTCCTCCGCTTCCCTGCCCTACCCGTCACAGGACTCCCGAGTTCCGTTTGGCCCACGCACCTGCACCCTCTCCCACGGCCAGGCGGGCTCCGGGCAGCCCTGGCTATCGGCATCTGTCTGTCGCAGGCAGGAAGGCTCAGTGCTCCTGCCCGTGAGCCAGGGCCCACCCTGCTCATCCAGGGGCCTGGCGCCCCACTGCCCTGATGCCCCATGGCATCAGGGGTCTGATTCATTCTCCTTGGCCAGGACCATTAGGGGACATGTGGAGTCCTGTGCAGGTTAGCAGAATGGGGGAGGCATATACCGAGAAGGCCTGGGGGCTCCCGGCCCCCCAGTCGCCTTGTGGGAGAGGTCCCCCAGTCCGGCTGGCAGCCAACACCCAGGTGGGCAGGAGGCGCTGGGGCCGGGCTGCAGTGCAGTCTCTGCCAGCCTGTGGGTGGGCACGGGTGCCAGGCAGCTGAGGGATGCCAGCGGGCGGCCTCTGATGCCTGCAGGGCCTGCAAGAGCATCTGGGAGGGGGAGATCATGAAGGCCCCAGGGGAACCAGAGTAGAGGACAGTGTCGGAGGAGAGGCTCAGCCCGGCCAGCAAGGGGTTGTGCGCGCTGCCCGCCGTCACTAGGCGGCTCTGAGTGTGGCAGAGCCTTGTATGTGGCCTTGAGGCCCGGCCAGGAGCAGAGGAACCTACTCCGCTTTGCGTGGTTCTTGTGCCTAAAGCAGGGGCGTCTCTACACCCAAATGCCCATCACGCAGCGGGCTCAGGCCCCCCGCTCACACTTCCCGAGCGCCCGCCCCGTGCCTGGCACTAACAGGAGGCCCCGAGCCCCTGGGAGTCGGGGAAGTGTCGGAATGGAGTCGCCTGCACGTCTGTGGGCCTGGGGTGCCGCTGGGCCGGCGGAGGGCGTGGCCGGCCTCGTCTTGGCTGGGTTCCGACACCTTCCCAAGCAGCAGCGTTTAAGTGGGGGCGTCTCTCCCGCTGGCTGCTTGGTGTGAAGTGCGGCCCCGTGGGGGTGGGGTGGGGGCCGGGTCAGGGAGTGCGGCTGGAGGACCTGGCCGGCTCGGTGTGGCCGACGCTTGACCTCCCGGGCCTGTCCTCTGGGAAGCCAGTCAGGCCAGAGCCCTCCTCTGCGGGCCGCCGGGGGAAGAATCCACCCATGCTTCCTGCTGCCCTGTAGGGGCAGCATCCCCAGGCTCCCCAGGGCCTGGGTGGACCCCGGGCTGGGGGTCTACAGGGAAGCCAGGGGTGGGCCGGGGGCGGCTGGGTGACTGGACTGGGCAGGACCCTCTGGGGCACGGATCGGACAGGACCAGGATGTGGGAATCTGAGTCCGTGTTGGTCTCCACATGGGAGCCTGGGTCCAGCAGCCTCTGAGTCCATGTCGGTCTCCACGTGGGACTCAGGCAGAAGGTGCAAAGGTCCTGTGGTTTTTCTGTACTTTTTTCTGTAACTTTTTAAAATTAGGGAAGGACCCACCAACCCCTCAATACAGAATTCAAATCCTGCACGTGAAGGACGCCCTCGCGGTCCAGAGCTGGAGAGGGCTGAGTGAAGGGTCGGCCCGGCCCAGCCACACAGCTTCACTGATTAGCCCACCGAGGCCTGGCGCTCGGCTCCGGGGTCTGGGCCCCTCAAAGGTCGTGCCAGACCTCTGTCCTCCAGACCTTCCCCAGCGGGGAAGCAGGCATGGACAGGAGCATTCTGGGTCCCAACCTCTGCTCCCCACGACTCAGGTCAAGTTGTTTGATCTAGGCCTCAGTTTCCCCATCTGTAAAATGAGGTTAAACAGCCTGTCCATGTCGATGTGGGGATCAAAGGGGGCCCCAGACACTGGCAGGGGCAGAGCCAGCTCCATGGCTTACGGGTGCACGGGGATCCCTCTGAATAGGGGCCACTCCTGTGGCTCTAAGACCCTGGCTCCCATGCGAGTGCTGTGGCGGTTAGGAGAGACGCCCTTCCAGGAGTTTTAAAATCTTTGCAGGTTACCATGCACCCCACCTTCCCAGGGCGTCACCGTGGTGACAACATAACAATGCAAGCCTCCAGCTTCGAAAGGCCCCCCTACCCCCCGACAGGCAGCACCCCATAGACAGCCCTGTGGTCTCCAGAGTCTTTATTCAGGAAGATACAGAGCGTCAGAAGTCGACAGGCACCGCACAGAGGCGGGGGGTGCTCGGAACACTTCAGTTTTCTCCATCGTGTTGGGGGAGAGGGGTGCAGAGGGATGCAGAACCCTCCAAGAGTCTTCTCCAGACAAAAGGCACTGGCGGGGGCGGTGGGGGGGGTTGTGAACACCCTGCTTCTTGCCCAGCCTGGGTCCCTTCCCAAGCCGGGCACTTGGCAATATACACTTGAGCTGAACCGGATGCAGGACCCAAAGCTAAATAAAGTGAGGGAGGAAGGAGTCCATCTCAGGGAGCCGGGGCCGCTTCCCGCCTCTCCCCGCCAAGCAGGAAAGGAAGTCCAGAGAGAGGGCAGAGTTTTCACGAAGAAACAGAATCTAGCCTTTCGGTCTTAGTGTTTTGTGCAATTAAAAAAAAACAAAAAATAAATATAACTTAAGAACGTCTTACAGGACACTAAAAGCCATTCGGGGACACACAGCTGAGAAACCTTCCTTGAATGCTAAGCAGTGCTGAACACCATGAACCCCTGGGGTTCCCCCTCACCCCAGCAAAGACAGGAAGGGGGTCCCCTACCTGTATGCAGGTGTGTCCGGCATGGCCCACCCTCCTGACACCTGCAGCCTGGACCCAAGCAGCCCCTGCTGGGAGCTGGGGGTGGGGAGGTCTTCACCCAGGCAGGGGTTCTGGGTCATTCCATTCAAGACCCATCTTCCCCACTAGGAAAAGCAGTGGGGGGACGAGGCGAGGGGGAGTTGAGGGCCAGCAAGCCTTGAAGAGGGAAATTAGCGTGGTAGATACACCCCCCACCCCAAGCCCCTAAGTCACAGAATGACCCTGCAAACGATGCTTCCACCAATCCAGGAACCCCGAGCGAAGGCCACGCTGGAGGCCCTGGGCCCCGGCGAGCAGTCACTGGCTCATGTTAGCGCTCTCTTTGCAAACGACCGGCCAGCTTAAAGTGCTTGGGAAGTTTGTTCTCTTAGATTAAGCTGGCCCCGGCATTTTTGTTCATAGCACGAATGAACCCTTTTCACAGACAGGATCATCACTTTGGGCCGGCCCGTCGCTGTGGGGTCTTCATGCCCAATGAATGACACTGCTTTCCTGCAGCGGACACACAGGCCACGAGGCCTCCAGCTGGCCGGTCACTCTGCCCGGAGGCCCGGGCTGGCGGTGACCCTCAGGGGACCCCTGCAGTCGTGGGGTCTGGGCGGGGCACGGCCTTAGCAGTCGGCCTGTACAGCGCTCACTGCTGTTTAGAACAGGAGCCAGGAAGTCGCAAAGTGATTTCCTTTTTTAAAATCTTAAACATCCTCACGGGTCCCACCCTCCGCCCCCACCGACAGTCACTCACCCGGCGTGAAAGGGGAAACGGGAGGTCACGTGGGTGAGTTGACGCACCCCCACGCCAGGCCCTGGAGTGACGGTGCCCCCCAGGGACACACACTTGGGGGCGCTCTCTCTCCCCTTCCTATAGCTCCCCCAGAAAGGGACACTGCTGGGGCACAGCTCCAAGTGGCTGTTGAGCTGTGAGTTTTGCTCTAAGAAGTCATGTAAATTTACAATCTTCTCCAAAATACAGACTGACTTGTTTCCCAATGAAAATGGGCTGACAACGGGTTCCCCACAAATCCCCTGGCAACGTAGAGGCTCCAGGTAGAGACACCTGTAACATCCTGGAACTGCCTCTACTACCTTTGGGGCGAATGGGGCTTAGCCCTTCAGACCTGAGGCTCATTTCAGGGGCGACTAGGGCACTGGCCGAAGCCAGTCCCTGCTGGGACTGTCACTGCTGGGCCTGATGACACATGACAGCCCTGTGTGCGGGGCCTCCTGGCCCCCGGGGGCGAGAGGGGCTGCCCTGCCCCCACCCCCCAGCCCCCTGGACCTGAAAGCGAGGCTGGGGGTGGGGAGGCGCAAGAGGCTTTGGGGGGCGGGGGTGGGGGAGGGGGAGGGCTCTCCTCCTCCTCACTCTGGAAGTTCAGGTTTACAGTCTCCCTCTTAATGAAGGGTGATCATCACCGGGGAGGAACGCAACCACTGCCCCCCTCCCAGAGCACAGCCAGCTTGGCTCCAGACCTCTCCTGGCTCCTGGGTCTGGCCCAAAACTCAAGTTGTGATACCAGGTGGGTGGGACCCCGACTTTGGCAATCCTACAGAGGGAGGCCTGGGGCTGCAAAGCAGAGGGTACTCATGGTAGACGTACGGTTCACAGTGGATTTGTGCCCCAGCTACCAGCAAGCCTGGTACCTGCGGACACATGGGTTCTGGCCGACCCCTCCTGCCGCCCCCCCTCCAGCTTGGAGGATGGGGGCAGCAACGGCTGTGCTGGGCAGCGGTGCTAATGGCACCGGCCACCAGGGGGCAGTCGGCCCCCACGGATAGCCGGTCCAGAGGGCGTGGGCTCAGCTGTTGGGGTCCCTCTCTGTGGCCAGGGTCTCCCCCTCCCCTCTGGCGTGCACCTTTCACCAGATCTAAGCCCAGCGGACCTGGCCTGGTCCGGCACTGGCCTGAAGCCCTGCCTGTGACTGCTGGGGGCTCTGGACTTGGTGAAGGAGCCCAGGTATGCAAGTGGGGGGCTGCCCACCTGGCAGAGGCAAGGGGAGCACCTTCTGCAGACCCTCACGCCCCGCCCCGCGCCCCACCCCAGAGCAGAGCCTGAGCAGGTCTCCTCTAGCAGGACCCTAGTGACCAAGAGAGGCGGAAGTCGGGAAGTCGCTGGAAATCGTGTCTCTCTGCAAAGTGTCTTGTAGTGCAGTTTGGGCAGGTAAGTTCTGGGCACGAGCCAGGTAGAAGGGCAGGCGATGACGAGCGAGCAGGGAAGAGAAGGCAGGGAGCCTCGCGTGGGCGGGGCCTCGCGTGGGCGGGGCCTCGCGTGGGCGGGGCCTCAGGCCGGCGGGGAGCCCGCGCACATCTCCGTCAGGATGTCGATGAGGTTGTTCAGGCCCGACAGGTAGCCGTCCTCCCGGTTGCCTTCCTGCCAGGGGATGTCGTGCTGCAGGGTCTGGCCCTGGGGCAGGGGCGTGGTCTTCCCAAAGTCGATCATCCACACCTTGGCCTGCTCCCTCTTGTCGTGGATGAAGAGGAGTGAGCTGCCGATGACCTGCGGGTCAGAGAGGTGAGGCCGTCGGGCCTGCCCTGCGTCCACGCCGCAACCTGGACCTGAGAACTCCGGGGAGATGGGAGCAGCACGGCCCCAGGGGCACCCCGCGCCTGTCCCTCGTTCTCACCGAGGCAGCATCCCCACAGCGGCCTCCAGAGTCGTCCTCCGAACAGTGACCGCTCTCTGGGTGGCGTCAGGGAGGACTTGGGGATGCAGACCCCCCCCCCCCCCAGCTCCCACCTGGACACTTTGCATGTGTCGGGGGACACCTCGATCCTGGGACCTCCTGGGTGATTTCTCGCAAACACCTGAAGTGCTTTTGTGAACGGGGGGTGCCAAGGAGATGCTCACCTCACTGTGGGGCAGAGGAAACGGCCCAGAGCCTGTCCAGGCGCACACCCGGCCCCAGCGGGGTGCAGGTGTGAGCCCCAGGCCCCCACCCCAGACAGGTGGCCAGGCTGAGTCTCCAGGGCGGCGGCACCGAGAGCCCTCCCTACCCTGGCTGGGCCAGGCCCTGCCCCTAGAGGCCCACGTCCCCAGACCCTCTCTGGGGTCCCCGGTGTGGGGCCAGGAGACGAGGGGTGTGGCCAGGGGTCGCTATGGTGCCCAGGCCCAGGGCAGAGCAGGGCTGACCGGCCAGGGGCTGATCAAGCCCAGAGACGGGTGTTTTCTTCCCAGGGAGAAAACAGCAGCAGCCTCAATTAATTTGGTCTCTGTAAACCTGGAGTTTCCAGAAAGTCTAACAAAACCTTTTTCAAGAAGTAACAGCCAAGGTGCTGAAGAGACAGAGAAGAGCTGTGGGGGGGCCCAGGGCTGCTGGGGGGGCGTCGCGGGCGCTCTGCGGCCTCCCGGCCTCCCGGCCCAGGGGATCCAGCCAGCCCATCCTCCGGGGGAGGGAGGGAGCCCGGCAGGCGGGCGCACAGCGTCCAGGGGGACCCGGGAGCACAGGCCTCAGCAAGGGCAGGAGGGCACAGGGCACAGGGCGGGGCTCAGGGAAGAAGGGTCTGCCCCGTGCGTGCGCCCCCCACCTTCATCACGCTGGCCCCCTCCCACATGCCAGCAGGGCCACCGGGCAGAGTGGGGCGGTTGGGGACACAAGGGTAGCGGGTGCGGCCTGCAGCGGGCTGTGTGGGGAGCCCTGCCTGGGGCCCCGCCGCGCCCCAGGCAGGGCTCCCCACACAGGGCTAAGCTGAGACTCCCTCCACACGAGCCCCCCGGAGGCCCCACCCGCGCGGAGGGGTGGTGAGGACACTCTGGTGCATCTTCGAAAGCCCCTGGGGAACCTGCTGATGCCCCTGAGCCCTGCGTTCAGGGCTCGCTGCTCATGGTTGTGCCCAGCCCCCCAAATCTGTGACCCCGGGGATCCACGCTGCTCAGCTTGCCCCCCCAAAGATCTCGGGGTGGGGGCCCTAGGCTAGCCTGGACGCACAGAGAGCTTCTGCCTTAGTGCCTCAGGCCTCTGGGTAGCTCAGGACAGAATCCCGTCGTATCCCCATCTGGGACAGGTGGTCTTGGAGCTGGCAAGGAGCAGAAGTGACAGGCCCGGTCGTCCCGGGGCGGGGCCAGAGGGCGTGGGGCGCGTGATGGGCAGGCCTGAGAGGGGCGGCTGCCCGACGGTCAGGGCGCTCTCTGCCCAGGGGGTGCGATGGTTACCTCGTGACACTTGAAGAAGGGAGAAATTTCTAGGGTGGCGCGAATGTCCTTCAGCCGGTCCCGGTAGGCGATCTGGGAAGAGAAACAGGACCAGATTTCTAAATCCGCAGGGCGGGGTGGAGACTGCCCACTCGTCACCACACACGAGAGCGGGAGGGGCCTTGCACTGGACGCGTCCTTCGGACTCGCGTCTAGGGACGCGCTGAGCTGCTGCGTCTGCCCGCTACTCTGCCCCTCCAGCGGAAGCGACCCAGAGCCGCGCCCGAGTGGGGCCGCCGGCCACCGCACCTCCTCTTCACCTTCCGAGCAGGAGTCTGGGTTTTCCAAGCGGGCAGCGCGTCCAGGGCCGGCGGGCTCCGCGGAGGACAGGGATTCCTGCCTGGCGCCCGCACCCCCGGCCCAGCCCCGTCTCGGGCTCCCACTCACCAGGATGTTCCGATTGTCTTTCGTGAACTCTCGGAAGGCCTCGGTGACCTGTTCCCTCGTTTTGGTTTTCTTGAAGTCCCTGTTCACAGAGCCGTCTTCCTTCTGGGGATAAACAAGACGCCGGGCCAGGAGAGGTCAGCAGGCCAGTGGCCCAGGGCGGCCAGCCTGGCCTCAACCCTGAGCCCTGGGCAGCAGGGACCCACGTGTGGCGCAGGAGGCGGGCGGCTGCCGGCCAGGCTGGGTGGCGCTCCTGGGCGCTGACCACGGAGAGCAGCGAGGCCCCCACTGCTGTCCAGGCGGAGTGAACGGCTGCAGCACGCACCTGCAGGTGTGTGGGGTGCCTGGGCCAAGAGTGGGGGGCGAGAACAGCAAGGGCCGGGGAGACGGCCAGTCTCGGCTTCGTTCCAGGGCTGGTCTGGAACCGAGTGCCCCCGGGTCCTGGCCGCCCAGAGACCCCCCACCCTGCTGCAGAGAGCGGAGCTCAGCCACATCCCTGCCTCCCGCCCCCTGCAGGGAATCACCCCATTTTCTGAGCCTGGACACGTCTAAGTTGCTTCAGGGCCCACTACTCTGGAGGACACGCACTGCTGAAGGGCAGACGGCGAGACAGCAGTGCCCCCCGGAGCCCCGACTC